CTGTGGCTCCTTGGGGGGAGATTGGGGTGGGGGGAGGTCTTCCCCAGAGGCCTCTTAGAGCAGGGAGATCAGCTGTCTTCCTCCTGTCAAACCTGCCCCAGTCTGATCCCTAGAGTCGCTTGATAATGAGTTGGACATCATATAAATTTAATTAAAAATATTAAAAGAGTTTCAAGAGTTCGTTAAAAAAAATGTATCAACCATCATTGCTGCACATTAGACAGAGGTTTGTCCTTCCAGACTTAATTCCCGTCCCCGCTCCCAAAAAAATGATACATATCATTTTATGCTGCCCTGAGTCTGCGGAGAGGGGCGGCATATAAATTTAATAAATAAAGAATAAAGAATATTTCATAGTTTCCAAATGCTGCATTGTAAGCATGAAAAAAGCGCATTTCCACCTATGGCAGTCCATCCTGAATGTTAATAAGCCTGAAAATGTTTTCAGCTGAAAATAATTTAGGACAAGACCAAAGTATATGAGTCAATCTTCCATCTTCTACAGCATCAAAACCAGCCCTCCTAAAACATGACCTGAAGCATTTCTCAGCTCAATTTGATTGAAGTGAAAAGGCACTTGTGCTAAGAGAAGTTTCGTTGGCCAGAAATAAAGGATTTGGGGGGGGGGGACGGGGACGATGACGGGATTATTTATGACAGTGTCAGACCTGCCCTGGTCTGATCCCTTAGGCAAGTGAAACCCTCGACTCCATTAGATTGAAGTCAAAAGGCACTTTTGCTGAGAGATTCTGATTGCAGGAGAGTCAAGCAAAATCTAAAATTACCGTGCCAATACAGAGCTAGAACCCCTGATTTCCCCAAGCCCTCCCTCCCCTTCCCTTCCCTCCGTGGTCCCTCCCCTCCTGGTACCGCCGACATGTTTTGGGAAACGCTGAAGTGTTTAGGCTGCTGAAATTCCACTCTCGGGGCAAACGGAATTGAAGATGCCAGCATGCCAGCACGAATTGGATTCTCTTCTTTTTCAACTGTCAATCCCCTCCCTCCCCAACCTCCTAATTTCCCACCATACACAGGTAGTCCTCAACTTACAACAGTTCATTCAGTGACCACTCCCAAGTTACAACGGGCACAGAAAAAAGTGACTTGGGACCGTTTTTCACAGTGACAACCTACCTTCGCAGCATCCCCCATTGATCAGGGGAATCAAAATTCAGATGCTTGACAACGGGTTCATCCTTACGTCCCAAGGTCATGTGATCCCCTTTTGTGACTTCGCGAGCGAAAGTCCACGGGGAAAGCCAGATTGACCTAACAACCGAGTGGCCTACTCATCCACTGCAATGTTTCCCTCAACATCGGAGGCAAGGATGTTCGTAAAAACGGGGCAAAACACACTTAACAAATGTCTCACTTTACAACAGAAATTTGGGGCTCAATTGTGGTCGTAAGTTGAGGACTACCTGTACAGCAAATTGCCCCTTGGTTTCTTCCCCCCCGCCTTTTAATGTCAGAACACCCCAGCTGGAGGTTCTGACACCTCCTTTCTTCCCTACCAGGATAGCCTCTCCATCCGATTCCCATTTTAAATGCAATGGGAGCAGCCAGCTGTCAGCGCCTCAGCGCTGGCATAGAGAGGAGAGAGATAAGCTCTGAACTTTTGCCTGCTAAATCCCTTTGAAGCCGGGTTGTCGTGGAAATGAGGGGGAGACATTCCCTGGGAAATGACGAGACAAGAAGTCTGAAGAATGACTTGGAAGATAGCCAATGAGAAGCAGAGATTTGGGGATCGGAAAGGGAGGGATTGGGGGGCAAAAGGTCAGTCTTGTCCGCATCAAGTCATGATCCGGTGGCTGTGCTCAATTAAAGAAAAGATTTCCTTAAAGATTGGCAGTTTGGAAATTCATTTAATTTTGAGATAGCATCGAAGTCTGACAGTGAGATTGGGGAGGGAAAGAGGAAAGAGAGAATTTTGTCATTGACTGGCTTGAATCTTCTGCGTCTCCAGAGGTGGTCTTGACCTGGAGATGCTCCAAAAACGAACATCTGAGGACCTCTTGGAGATTCAACATTAATGCCTCTCAGGAATTATTGGGTGACGGGGATTCAGGGTTAATGAAGGTGGTTCTTTGCTCACCAGCTTCCAATGTTGAGATCCTATGGGCCTTATTTTCTGCTGTTGAGGGCCCTCACCATCTTGGGAATGTCCCTGGAGAAGGCGAAGGGGACAATTGGAAGAGACACAAACCAGAAAGTGGTGGAGTCTAATTTAGAAAGCTATAAATCAGGGATGAGGAAGGAAGGAAAGGAAGGGAAGGGAAGGGAAGGGAAGGGAAGGGAAGGGAAGGAAAGGAAAGGAAAGGAAAGGAAAGGAAAGGAAAGGAAAGGAAAGGAAGATAGAAAAAGGGAAGGGAAGGGAAGGGAAGGGAAGGAAAGGGAAGGAAAGGAAGACAGAAAAAGGAAAGGGAAGGAAAGGAAGATAGAAAGGAAAGAAGAGGAAAGGAAGATGGAAAAAAGGAAAGAAAGATAGAAAAAGGGAAGGGAAGGGAAGGAGAAAAGAAAGGAAGATAGAAAAAGGGAAGGGAAGGGAAGAAGGGAAGGAAAGGAAAGGAAAGGAAGATAGAAAAAGGGAAGGGAAGAAGGGAAGGAAAGGGAAGGGAAGGAAAATAGAAAGGAAAGAAGAAGAAAGGAAGATGGAAAAAAGGAAAGAAAGATAGAAAAAGGAATGGGAAGGGAAGAAGGGAAGGAAAGGGAAGGAAGAAAAGAAGGAAAGGAAAGAGAAAAAGGAAAGGAAGAAAAGGAAAGGAAAGGAAAAGAAAAGAAAAGAAAAGAAAGGAAGATAGAAAAAGGAAAGGAAAGGAAGACAGAAAAAGGAAGGAAAGGAAAATAGAAAGGAAAGAAGAAGAAAGGAAGATGGAAAAAAGGAAAGATAGATAGAAAAAGGGAAGGGAAGGGAAGAAGGGAAGGAAAGGGAAGGAAGAAAAGAAGGAAAGGAAAGGAAGACAGAAAAAGGAAGGAAAGGAAAATAGAAAGGAAAGAAGAAGAAAGGAAGATGGAAAAAAGGAAAGAAAGATAGAAAAAGGGAAGGGAAGGGAAGGGAAGGAGAAAAGAAAGGAAGATAGAAAAAGGGAAGGGAAGGGAAGAAGGGAAGGAAAGGAAAGGTAAATAGAAGAAGGAAAGGAAAGATAGAAAAAGGAAAGGAAGAAAGGAAAAGGAAAGGAAGATAGAAAAAAGGAAAAGAAAGGAAGATAGAAAAAGGAAATGAAAGGGAAGGGAAGGAAGATGGAAAGAAAAGGAAAGAAAAGGAAAGAAAGAGGAAAAAAGAAGGAAAAAAAAAAGAAAAGAAAAAAAAAAGAAAGGAAAATGAAAGAAAGGAAAGAAGAAAAAAGGAAAGAAAAAGGGAGGAAAGGGAAGAAGGAAAAAAAGAAAAGGAAAAAAAGGAAAAAGGAAAGGAAAGAAAGGAAGGAAGGGAAAGAGAAAAGAAAAGGAAAGAAAAGATAGAAAAAGAAAAGAAAGGAAAAAAGGAAAAAGGAAAATGAAGAAAAGATAGAAAAAGGAAATGAAAGGGAAGGGAAGGAAGATAGAAAAAGGAAAGAAGAGGAAAGGAAGATAGAAAAAAGGAAAAGAAAGGGAGATAGAAAAAGGAAAGAGGAGGAAAGGAAAGGATCATAAGGGTGAGGACTAGTTTGTAAGTTGGCTGCCCTAACTTTGGTCGCTAAACAAATCGTGGTAAGTCGAGGACTCCCTGTGCTTGGGCAGATGAGAGAGAGTCCTGCGACGGCCTCCTTCCGTCAACCTTCTCTTGTTCCCTCAGGCGGAGAAGGCGGGAAGGGCAAAGGATCCAAGAAAAAAGGCTCCTCCTTCCAGACGGTCTCAGCGCTTCACCGGGTACGAGTCGAGAACCCCTGGGGGGAAAAGAAAAATGGGTTCTAGGTCGCCTACGAGGGGGAGCCGTGGGGAAACCGTGGGGCTGGGGGCAATCCTGGCAGTTGGGGAGAACCCAGAAGCTCCCAGAGGTCCATCATCTCCTTTCTGAGGAACGCGGAACCTCCCGGGGGGCAGAGGGCCAGGGTTCCGGAGCGGACTAGAACCCACAGCTGGAATTTGGGGACATTGTTGTGTCGCAGTGTTGTCCGAACTTGGCGTGCTGACTGGGGAATTCTGGGAGTTGAGGGCCACGCAGCTTCTTGGCCAAATGTTGGTTTCTACGTTAACTGGGGTTTGCAAGGAGAAACATAATGAACATTTCTCTGTGTCTCTGTCCCTGTCCTTCTTCTCCTCCTCCTCTCTCCTTCCTTCCTTCCTTCCTTCCTCCCATCTTCTTTCCCTCCATCCATCTCTCCTCTCTCCTTCCTTTGTCCCTCCCTCCTTCCATTTCTCGTCTCCCTTCCTTCCTTCCTTCCCTCTCCTCTCCTCTCACTCTCTTTCCTCTTCTCCTTTCTCCTTTCTCCTTTCTCCTTCCTTCCTCTTCTCCATCTCTCCTCTTTCCTTCCTTCCTTCCTTCTCCTTCCTTCTTTCCTTCTCTTTCTCCTCTTTTCCTCTCTCCTTCCTCCTTCCCTCTTCCCTCTCCTCCTCTCTTCTTCCTTCTGTCCTTCCACCTACCCACCCACCTTCCTCCATGTCCTCTTTCTCTCTCCTTCCTTCCTTCCTTCCCTCCTTCCCTCCTCTCATCTCCTCTCCCTCCCTGTTTCTTCTCTCTCTCCTCTTCTCTCCTTCCCTCCCTCCTCCCTCCCTTCATCCCTCAATCCCTTCCTTCCTTCCTCCTCTCATCTCCTCTCCCTCCCTGTTCTTTCTCTCTCCTCTTCTCTCCTTCCCTCCCTTCTTCCTCCCTCCCTCCCTCAATCTCTCCCTTCCTTCCTTCCTCCTCCCTTCCTTCTCCTCTCTCCTTCCCTCCTTCCTCCCTCCTTCTCTCCTCTCTTGCCTCCCTCCCTCTGTGTCTCCTCCTCTCTTTCCTTTCCTCCTTCCTTCCTTCCTCTCTCCCTTCCTCCTTCCCTTTCTTCTTCCCTTCCCCTCCCCCTCCTCCTTTTCTTTTCCTCTGGCAGGAGAACCTCAACAAATTGATGGCCAACCTCAAGACCACTCACCCTCATTTCGTGCGGTGCCTCATCCCCAACGAGCGAAAGGCCCCCGGTAATCCAGTGGGGGAACCAAAGGGATCCCAAAACTGAGGGGGTGGGGCAGCCAGGCATTCAGCCTGGGGAACTCTCCCACACAAGATTCCTTCAGCCGGCTTACTGGATTCAGCTGGGAATGACACTGCTTCTCATCTTCTGCATTTCCTGCTTAACGGCAGGCTGAAAAACTAGGAAGGAAACAGAAAAAGGAAGTCCTTCCTCCTTTTCTTCCCGGAAGTTAAGGGGTCAAGGTCAGGCATGGACCCAAATTGCTCTCTCTCTTCTGTCTCTCTCTCTGTTTTTTTGTCTCTGTCTCTCTCCTCTCTCTCTCTCTCTCTCCTGTCTCTCTCTGTCTCTGTCTCTGTTTCTGTCTCTGTCTTTCTCCTGTCTCTGTCTCTCTCTGTGTGTGTGTGTCTCTCTCTCCTGTTCTCTCTCTCTGCTTCTGTCTGTGTCTGTCTCTCTCTGTCTCTCTCTGTGTCTCTCCTGTCTCTCTCTCTCCTGTCTTTCTCTCTGTCTCTCTGTCTTTGTCTGTCTCTGTCTCTCTCTTCTGTCTCTCTCTCTCTCTCTCTCTCTCTCTCTCTCTCCTCCCTCCTGTCTCTGTCTCTCCTGTCTTTGTCTCTGTCTCTCTGTCTTTGTCTCTCTCTGTCTCTGTCTCTCTCTCTCTTCTGTCTCTCTCTCTCTCTAGTCTCTCTGTCTCTGTCTCTCTCTCTGTGTCTCTCTCTTTCCTGTCTCTGTCTCTGTCTATTTCTCTCCCCTGTCTTCTCTCCTGTCTCTCTCTCTCTCTTCCTCCTGTCTCTGTCTCTCTGTGTGTCTCTCCTGTCTCTGTCTCTCCTGTCTCTGTCTCTGTCTCTCTGTCTTTGTCTCTCTCTGTCTCTGTCTCTGTCTCTCTCTTCTGTCTCTCTCCTCTCTTAGTCTTCTCTGTCTCTGTCTCCTCTCTGTGTCTCTCTCTTTCCTGTCTCTGTCTCTGTCTTTGTCTCTCTCTGTCTCTATTTCTCTCCCCTGTCTCTGTCTCTCTCTTCTGTCTCTCTCCTCCTCTCTTGTCTCTCTGTCTCTGTCTCTCTCTGTGTCTCTCTCTTTCCTGTCTCTGTCTCTGTCTTTGTCTCTCTCTGTCTCTATTTCTCTCCCCTGTCTCTGTCTCTCTCTTCTGTCTCTCTCCTCTCTTGTCTCTCTGTCTCTGTCTCTCTCTGTGTCTCTCTCTTTCCTGTCTCTGTCTCTGTCTTTGTCTCTCTCTGTCTCTATTTCTCTCCCCTGTCTCTCTCCTGTCTCTCTCTCTCTCTCTCTCTCTCTCCTGTCTATCTCTCTCTCTCTCCCTCCTGTCTCTGTCTCTGTCTCTGTCTCTGTCTCTGTCTCTGTGGAGACAGAGGTGGAAGGCAGCATCCAGCAGGGAAATACAGGTAGCCCTCAACGTACGATCCCAATTGAACCCACAATTTATGTTCCTAAGTCAGACATCTGTTAAGTGAGTTTTGCCCCATTTTGCGACCTTTCTTGCGACTGCCGTTATTAAGTGGATCGCTGCAGATGTTAAGCAAGTAACACGGTTGTTAAGTGAATCTGGCTTCCCCGCTGACGTTGCTTGTCAGAAGGTCGTAAAAGGGGAATCGCCTAACCCCGGGGACGGTGCAACCGTCGTAAATATGAGACAGTTGCCAAGTGGATGAACTCGGATCATGTGACCAGGGAGATGGTGCAACGGTCCTAAGTTTGAAAAAATGGTCGTAAATCATTTTTTTCCCAGTGCCGTCGTAACTCTGAACGATCACTAAATGAATGGTTGTAAGTCGAGGACTACCTGTACGAGATCTCTAGAGATGGTGAACTGCAGAATTGCTCCCAGTTAGAGTATCGGTAGTCCTCGAATTGCAACCGTTCATTTAGTGACCGTTCAAAGTTACAACGGCACTGAAAAAAGTGACTTATGACCATTTTTCACACTTACGGCCGTGGTCATGCGATCAAAATTCAGCCACTTGGCAACTAACTCACATTTATGACGGTTGCGGAGTCCCGGGGGGGTCATGCGATCCCTTTTTTGCGACCTTCTGCGACCAGCAAGGCCAATGGGGAAGCCCGATTCACTTAACAACCGTGTTAAGAACGGAAGTGATTCACTTTACAACGGTGACAAGAAAGGTCGTAAAATGGAGCCAAACTCAGTTAACAACGGTCTCGCTTAGCAACGGAAATCTTGGGCTCAGTGGTGGTCTTAAGTAGAGGACTCCCTCTCCGTTACAACAGGTTGCATAATCATAATGATAAGTTTATTTGTCAAGCATATATAAGATAACAGGTGAAAGTATAAACATAATTTGAATACATGAAAAGAATAAGTAAATTGGAGCAAAACGAATTGGATAAAATTGTATATGGGAGGGAACAAAAATTAATTAGCAAAATATATAAATTCTTATTACGGTATAAAATGGAAGAGGAAATAGTGAAAGATGCTATGATTAAATGGGCAAGGAATTTCAACCACACAGTAGAATTAGAGAAGTGGGAAAAGATGTGGAGAATAAATATGAAATTGACAATATCAACGGCATACAAGGAAAACCAGATGAAAATGTTTCATAGATGGCATCTACCGCCAGCTAGAATAGCAAAGATGTTCCCTAGTAATTCACCGAAATCCTGGAAATGTAAGAGTAACTATGGAACATACTACCATATCTGGTGGACTTGCCCGGTGGCAAAGAAATTCTGGGCAAAAGTCAAAAAGTAGCTAGAGGAGATAACACAGAAATCAATAAAGGGAGAACCACAGCAATTCTTACTAGGGATTCCCATAGAAAATTACACCAAAAAAAAAATACAATATTTAACATTACTAACAGCAGCCCGCATAGTCTATGCGCAAAATTGGAAGAACAATGTGGAGTAAGATAAAGTTAAAATATGTGTGAATAGTAAGAAAGGACCACTTCGAAGGAGCTGTTAAAAAAAAAAGTGTATGTATATAAATGTTGTATGTTTGTGTCTTGTTTGAATGTGTTTACAATAAAAAACTTCAAAAAAAAAAAGAAAGAAAGAAAGAAAAGAGTAAGTAAAAAGGAATATTAGGACAGGGATGGTAGGCACGCTGGTGCACTTATACACGCTCCTTAAAGACCTCTTAGGAGTGGGGTGAGGTCAACAGTAGATAGTTTAAGGTTAACGTTTTGGGTGTTTGGGGAAGAAACTACAGAATCAGGTAGTGCATTCTAGGCATTGACAACTCTGTTGCTGAAGTCTTATTTTCTGCAATCGAGTTTGGAACGATTTACCTTGAATTTGTATCTATTATTTGCTCGTGTATTGTTGTGGTCGAAGCTGAAGTAGTCATTGACAGGAAGGACAGATAATTTTATGTACTATGCTTAGGTCAGACTGAAGTCGGCCTAGTTCTAAATTGTCTTAAGCCCAAAATTTGGAGTCTGGTGGCCTAAGGTATTTTATTGCGGTTAGAGGAATGGAGGACTCTTCTCGTAAAATATCTCTCGATTGTATTTATGTCCGATATGCAGTGCGAGTTCCAGACAGAGGAGCTGTATTCAAGAATTGGTCTAGCAAATGTTTTGTATGCTCTAGTTAGTAGTACAACATTACCAGAGAAGAAGCCAGAATAATCCCAGAATATTCTTTCATTTCTTGAGTAAACTCATTTTCTGATACGCAAAGCCATCATTTGTGTGTGTGTGTGGGGGGTGTTATGCCATGTGGGTTTAGTGTGGTTGTGTGAACTAGAGACAGGAGGCCTAGAATGCATCTTGCTAAGGGGAGGTAATATTTTCTTTTCTTTTCTTTTCTTTTCTTTTCTTTTCTTTTCTTTTCTTTTCTCTCTCTCTCTCTCGCTCTCTCTCGCTCTCTCTCGCTCTCTCTCTCTCTCTCTCTCTCTCGCTCTCTCGCTCTCTCTCTCTCGCTCTCTCTCTCTCTCTCTCTCTCTCTCTCTCTCGCTCTCTCTCTCTCTCTTTCGCTCTCTCTCGCTCTCTCTCTCTCTCTCGCTCTCTCTCGCTCTCTCTCTCTCTCTCTCTCTCTCTCTCGCTCTCTCTCTCTCTCTCTCTCTCTCTCTCTCGCTCTCTCTCGCTCTCGCTCTCGCTCTCTCTCTCGTTTTCTTTCTCAGGTGTGATGGACAACCCTTTGGTCATGCACCAGTTACGTTGCAACGGCGTTCTGGAGGGAATCCGGATCTGTCGGAAAGGATTCCCCAACCGGATCCTGTACGGGGATTTCAGGCAAAGGTGAATCTGATTCCTCTGGCGTTCAAAAGCGGCCTTTGGCGAGTCAGCTCAGACTGTTGTGGCCCGTCAGCGGCCTGTGCGGATTGTAGCTGATTCTGACAGCGAGGAGGCTGGTGTGGTGCTGCGCCAGCAGCCTGTGCAGCTGGCTCCCAAGTCAGACAGTGAGGAGGCTGGAGAAGATGTGGTGCCAGAGGCGGGGATTCAGCCACGGCCTTCAGAACCTCCAGAAGCTCCCTTAAGTGAAGAAGATGAAGAGGAGGAGCCTCTTCTCGATGCACGAGCGCGCAGAGCTGTTAAAAGGCAGGAATGGCTCCTCAGGAGGAGGTCTCCTCGAGAGTAAGGCTTGGGGCGAATTGGCCACTCCCTTAGCCTATTTAAGGAGGAATGCCGACAGAAGCAATTTGTAGGGAACAACTTTAGTTCATTCTCCTTCGCGTCTGGATTCTCCGCAAATTGCTTCTGGGCTTTCTGCCAACCTTAGTAAGATTGTGATTACTTTATCTTTGGTTTCTTGTAGGCTGTTAAGAAAGTTTATTAACAGCCTTTGTTTGGAAGAGACTGAGTTATTTAAGTTTGGTACAGACTTTGTGTGTGCTGCGTTCTTTGGGGTCCGTACCTGGAGCAGAACACAAGACTTCTAATCGAGGGATAGAATCAAGATCACGTTAAAAGTGTTAATACCGCTTTATAAGGCCACGCTTGGAATACGGCATCCAGTTTTGGTCGCCACGATGTAAAAAAGACGTGGAGACACTAGAAAGAGTGCAGAGAAGAGCAACCAAGAGGATTAGGGCAGAAGTGGGTGTCACATTATTTTACCATCAGTTTGCCGCACACCGAAAATGTGCGTGCGTGCCTCCCATGCAGGTGAACGGTCTTCTTAAGCATAAGCTTAATCAGATGCTGAAATGGTTAAGCAGCAGGTTTTGGGGTGCGAACCCCACAAGCATCTGGCTGTTTCTCTTTCCAGGTCAAATCTCAGATAACCTTTAGCAAAAGAACACAGCTGGATTTTTCCTTTCTTGCCAGGTACCGGATCCTGAACCCGGCGGCCATTCCGGAGGGCCAGTTCATCGACAGCCGGAAGGGAGCGGAGAAACTTCTAGGCTCCCTGGACATCGACCACAACCAGTACAAATTTGGACACACCAAGGTGAGGCGAGCAAATCCCTTTTCCCACAAGGAGCCCAGGAAGGGAATTTTAGAATACAGATAGTCCTCGAGTTACAACAGGAAGAGAGGGAGGAGAAGGAGGTGGGGAGAGTAGGATGAAGGAAGGAAGGAAGGAGAGGAAAGAAAGGAGAAGGGAGGGAGGGAGGGAGGGAGGGAGAGAGAAGTAGGTGGGGAGAATGGGATGAAGGAGGGAAGGAAGTAAAGAAGGAGGGAAGGAAGGAAGGAGAGGGAGGGAGGGAGGGGGAGAATGGGATGAAGGAGAGAAGGAAGGAGGGGGAAGGAGGAAGGAGGGGAATAATGGGATGAAGGAAGGGAGAATGGGATAAAGGAGGGAGGGAAGGGAGGAGAGGGAGGAGAAGGAGAGGGAGAGGGAGAATGGGATAAGGAGGGAAGGAAGTAAAGAAGGAGGGAAGGAAGGAAGAAGAGGGAGGGAGGGGGAGAAGGGGATGAAGGAGGGAAGGAAGGAGTGGGAGGGAGAAGGAGTGGAATAATGGGATGAAGGAAGGAGAGAGGGAGGGAGGAAGGGAAGGAAGGAGAGGAAGGAGAAGGAGAGAGAGAGAATGGGATGAAGGAAGGAAGGAAAGGAAGGAAGGACGGAGAGGGAGGGACGAGGGAAGGAAGGAGAGGGAGGGTGTAGAAGGAGAGAGAATGGGAAGAAGGAGGGAAGGGAGGGAGGGAGGGAGGAAGGAGAGGGAGGAAAAGGAGAATGGGATGATGGAGGGAAGGAGGGAGGAGGGAGGGAGGAAGGGAAGGAAGGGCAGAGGGAGGGAGGAGAAGGAGAGGGAGAATGGGATGAAGGAAGGATGGAGGGAGGGAAGGAAGGAAGGAAGGAGAGGAAGGAGAAGGTGGGGAAAATGGGATGAAGGAGGGAAGGAAGGAAGGAGAGGGAGGAAAAGGAGAATGGGATGAAGGAGGGAGGGAGGGAGGGAGGGAGGGAAGGAAGGAAGGAAGGAAGGAAGGAAGGAAGGAAGGAAGGAAGGAAGGAAGGAAGGAAGGGAATCTGCAAGTGACTTTAAAAGAGACTTACCTTTTTTTGGACTTTAAGCTAAAACATTTTGCTTTCAGCCCAAAGGAGAGTTTCTCAACCTTGGCAGCTTGAAGCTCTGTGGACTTCGACTCCCAGAATCCCCCAGCCTGCATGAGAATTCTGGGAGTCGAAGTCCACCCCTCTTCAAATGGTCCGGCTTTAGAAAAAAACCCTGTTTCAAAGTCACCGTCACGCAAACGACAACTGAAACAGAAACCCATTCGACGAGTGGACCTTACGACCACGTTTTTCATTTTACGTTGCTCGTTTTTTATTTTTAATTTAGCGAATCAAACGAAACCAAAACCATCTTCCTTTCCCACAGGTGTTTTTCAAGGCAGGGTTATTAGGTCACCTGGAGGAATTACGAGATGAACGGTTGTCCAGGATTATCACCCGCATCCAAGCCCGGGCAAGAGGCCAACTCATGCGCATTGAGTTCCGGAAGATCATGGAGCGGAGGTGAGCCCTAGAGAAGAAGACCGAGGTTATGGAGGGTGACACCAACTAGAGGAGAAGGAGAAGGGTCAACAGAAGGGAACGACCCTCTTCTTAGATGCTGTCGGAATACGGAGGTCTTTCGTTACCCAGATTGCAGAATTCCTGATCTGTCCCCGTACCCACCCACACACACACAGCCAGTCGAGGGTTAAGGAAACACTTTGGAACGCACCCAGTTCTTATCTCCCACTTGGCAGCGATAGACACACCGTCTGCCAAGTGACTTTATTTTCAAAGTAAAACAGAAAGACAAATACTCAAGAGTCCAAATGTCCGACACTTTAAATCTTTCTCTCAGCAGCTCCGGACGAGGCTTTAGTGACTATCCAAGGTTTGCTTTGTTCGTCACAAAAATTCTTGACCACCACCCTCTATTATATAGTCTCTGGGGTGTGGTCCAGTGACTCAGTTCTAATCCCTAGCACGCCTCCTAAGCTGCTGCAAACGTTTATCACGCCTTCGGAGGCGTGCGTCCAGGAATGATGTTTCTTTATCACTCTGATCCGAATCAGCTGTCTCCTCTCCCTCGGCCGGCACTTGAGACAATGCCAGAGGGGAGGGGCCTGGAGAGGGAGGCCTGGCTGACTCCTCTTCCTCATGCTCGGAGCTTTCTTCCTCCGATGGGACAGGCTCAGAGGGCGGGGCCACAACAATTCCTAAACGAGTGTCTACAGCAGGAGTGTCAAACTCAAGGCCTGCAGGCCGGATGCGGCCCATGGGGTGCTTAGATCTGGCCCATGGGGCCGACCCGTGATGCCTCTGCTGGCCAAAATGGGGCACAGGGGAGGGCTGCACACTCCTCTCCATCCCCATGACCCGTTTTCGGCCAGCAGAGTGCTGCAGGAGGCCGTGGAGGCCAAAATCAGGCCATGTGGGGGCCTCACACGGCCCGACCGCAGCCCATTTTTAGCCGGCAGAGTGCTGCAGGAGGCCGTGGAGGCCAAAAACAGGCCACGTGGGGGCCTCACAGGGCCCGCCCGCAGCCCATTTTTAGCCGGCAGAGTGCTGCAGGAGGCCATGGAGGCTGAAAACGGGCCACATGGGGATTTCTCATGGCCCACCCGCAGCCATTTTTGGCTCGCAGAGTGCTGCAGGAGGCAGTGGAGGCCAAAAATGGAATGCGTGGGGGCCTCACACGACCCTCATGAGGCCCGTTTTTGGCCGGCAGAGTGCTACAGGAGGCCGTAGAGGCCGAAAATGGCCCGCATGGGGACTTCTCATGACCCACCGATGGCCTGTTTTTGGCTGGCAGAGTGCTGCAGGAAGCAGTGGAGGCCAAAAATGGGATGCGTGGGGGCCTCACGCGACTCTCATGAGGTCCGTTTTTGGCCGGCAGAGTGCTGCAGGAGGCTGTGGAGGTTGAAAACGGGCCACGGGGGGGGCCTCATGCAGCCCACCCATGGCCCGTTTTTGGCTGGCAGAGTGCTGCAGGAGGCATCCATTCCATCTTACCCCCTTACCCCCCCCTGGCCAGCCCGCAGAGGAGAACTACAACACTGATCCGGCCCTCGAAGAAATCCAGTTTGACACCCCTGGTCTACAGCAAAGGTCTCCAATCCCCGGGGCCAGGGGCCACTAACGAGCCGTGGCCTGTTCAAAACTGGGCTGCGGAAGAAATGGGCAAGCATGCTCGCGTGAAGCTCCACTCGAGTGAGAAGACACTTGTGCAAACGTGTGCAAAACACCACACGCACGACTGGAGTGTCCCACACGGGCTTCTTCATTTCTCCCACGGCCCAGTTTTGAACAGACTATTGCCCAGTAGTGGGCTGCAGCCCGGGGGTCCCCAACCCCTCTGGGCCACAGCCTACCACCGAGCCGTGGCCTATTTACAAACAGGTCACATGAGTGGCGGGCCAGTGCGCATGGTTACGCACCCAGCTCGACTCGCACAAGTGGCCGGTGGGCCCACATGCATGGTGCAATTTATGTGGCTTTAAGCTTAACCTGTGTGACTCCAGCCTTGATAGGTTACTGTATAAGGCAGGGGTCAGCAATCTGCAGCTCTGGAGCCATGTGTGGCTCTTTCACCCCTCTACTGTGGCTCCCTGTCACTCAAAATATGCGTCACAACCGCCAATGTGCGACACCCGCCGGCACACGATTTATTGAGCTTTTCAACCCCAGTAGGCCAACCATGGATAAATCCAAGAAAAGAAAAGTTTCAGAAGAAAACAAGAATGTTTAATTCAACTACATATGCTAGTTTTGTGACCTCTCAAGAAATCGTCAGGCACGGGAAGGGTTTTGTGGCTCCCGGTGTTTTCTTTTCTGTGGATCCAAATGCCTCTTTGAATGTTTAAGGTTGCAGACCCCTGGGATAAGGCATAGTCAAAGTGCAAAGTGTGTTATTATTGCACTAATTTCTTGTTGCGTTTAATGGTTTACCTTCCCTGAATATTCCTTGATCGATTTATTTCTTGAGCTGATTTCAATTTTAGAGGCTGCCCAACTTCCCACCACTCTGAGCAGCTTAGACCTATAAAGTCAAGGAACAATTCGAGTAGTCCTCGTTTGGCAACAAAGACCGGCAACTTGGTCGTTAAGCGAAGCAGCCACCGAGTGACATGCCCACTGTCTTTAGGACCTTCCTCCAGCTTTTTTTTTTTGCTTTATAGATCTGCGAAGGGCGTAAATGTGAGGGTCGGGCAGGAAATTATTTTTTCGTCACCGTCGTAATCGTGAATGGTCACTAAATGAGACCGTTGCTTTTTTTGCGCATTCTGCTTTGAATTGCAATGATGGTCGGATGCTTTGAAATTCCGAGTGTTTTTTGTGGAGTGAATTCCAGGGGACGGAAGTTGGAGAAGGGAGAAAAGGGTTTTCTGAAAAGTTACGGTGTGGCTCTCCTTGATCCCTTTCACCAGGGACGCCTTGCTCATTATCCAGTACAACATCCGGGCTTTCATGGGCGTGAAAAATTGGCCTTGGATGAAACTGTTCTTCAAGATCAAACCTTTGCTGAAGAGCGCGGAAACCGAGAAAGAAATGCAGGTGACTGCCTTCATTCGTTCATTCGTTCATTCGTTCATTCGTTCATTCGTTCATTCATTGAGTGGTGCGGTGGCGGCGCTCTCACCTCACAATCAGGAGGCTGAGTTCAATCCTAGACGGAGGCAGATATTTCTCTCTCTGGGCACATTGAGAATATATATCTGCTAAATATAACTCCGCATTGGCAACAGGAAAGGCATCCGGCCAGTAAACACTCAGCTCCATTCAGTTGCCCAGACTCCACCCCACAAGGGATTATGGGGTCGTTAAAAGAAGATGATGATTCATTCATTCATTCATTCATTCATTCATTCAGTCATTCATTCATTCATTCATTCATTCATTCATTTTAATAGCTGCCCGTCTCAGTCGAATTGACTTTGGGCAGCAAACAACATTCCCATAATTAAAACAGTAAAAACATAAAAGAGTTACATTTATATTTGCATTTACACAGGCAGTCCTCAACTTACAACCGTAATTAAATCCGGAAAAGTTGGAATTCATTGTTGGAATGTATTTCCATGCAACAACTACCGTAGTATTCAGCCAGTAAATGGCAGTATTTACAAGTTTGGATCTATGGTATATACTCTATGCTCTTTCGTTTTAAGTAGAGTGTCCTGTTTCCTGTTACGGTTCAAAACAATTGAGCAGTAAAGCACATGGTGACTGTGCTCCTTGTTTTGCTCTGTAGTGCTATCTATAAACAGAATTTCTAACAGGAAATATGGTTGGAACGTGTGCTGGTTGTTAAGTGGGTAACCATGGGAGCCTTTTTATGACCTGGTTTGCAGTGGTTGCAGGTCCCAAAAGGGGATCACATGACCCCAGAACACGGCAACCGTCATAAATATGAACCAGTTGCCAAGCATCTGAATTTTGATCCCGTGATCAGGTGGATGCGGCAAAGGTCGTACCTTTGAAAAGCGGTCATAAGTCACTTTTTTTCAGTGGCGTTGTAAATTTGAACAGTCACTAAACAAACTGCTGTAAGTCGAGGACTACCTGTAGGATAATTAAAGGCCACCCGCAATTTCCACTACCAGTTCTCCCAAATCAGTCCGAACCAGCTGAATGCCACCTCTGCTTCCAGCTCTATTGAGGTGAGTCTTTTGTATCCTTCGCAGACGATGAAAGAGGAATTCGGGAGGCTGAAGGAAGCTTTGGAGAAGTCAGAAACCCGGAGAAAGGAGCTGGAGGAGAAGATGGTTTCGTTGCTCCAGGAGAAGAACGACCTCCAGTTGCAAGTCCAAGCGGTGAGTATTTAGGCCATCATTTATTCTCCTTTTTTTAAAACTCGGAGGTTTACATCCTTGCTCCTTGTTCCGAAGTGCTTCCTTTACAGGGAGAACTTGGGAGATGTCTGAGGGTGGTTGCTTTCTCACGGACATTGCGTGATCCAACGAGGTAATATCATCAGTGTTAGAAGGGAGGGAGAGTCCCTCTCCTCCTCCTCCCTCTCCTGTTTCTCCCCTCCCCCTCCCTCTCCTCCTCCTCCTCCTCTCCCCCCTCCTTCTTCCTCCTCCTCCTTTGTGCACTGATGATGTTCCCAAGGTGGGTCCTGAAACATCTGCAAGAAAAACACCAAACTCACAAGAGTGGCAAGGACTCCACAGCTTTCCTTCTGCTTCTCTTCCTCCTCCTGCTCCTTCTTCTCCTTCCTCCTTCCTCTGAGCACTGGTGATGTGTATCCTAGTTGGGCCGTAAAAACACCTTCAAGAAAAATCACCCAGCTCAGAGTCCACCAAGGACCCCCTCACTGCTCAACCCTCAGCTGCAAATCTTCTCTTCTATTCATTCTTCTTTTCTTCTCTCCTTCCCTTCTTCTCCCCCCCCATCCCTGTCCCCATCCCTGTCCCCGTCCCTGTCCCTGTCCCTGTCCCTGTCCCCGTCCCCGTCCCCGTTACCGTCACCGTCACCGTCACCGTCACCGTCCCCCGCCCAGGAGCAAGACAATCTGAACGATGCCGAGGAACGCTGCGACCAGCTGATCAAGAACAAGATCCAGCTGGAGGCCAAAGTGAAAGAGATGACCGAGCGGATCGAAGACGAAGAGGAGATGAACGCCGAGCTGACCGCCAAGAAGCGGAAGCTGGAAGACGAATGTTCGGAACTCAAGAAGAAAAGGAAAAAGACCCTCCTCCCCTTTGACAGCTAACAATGATTCTTCGATCAACGTGGTTTCCATGAATGGCTGGCAGACCTGCCCATAATAGATTTCTGGGGTTTTGCTCGGAGGTCTTTATTTTTCATCCTTTTCTCGTTACCACATTTCTGCAATATAAAAGGCCTATAAAGGATAATATTCTCAGCTCAGGGTTGAAATGAAGGGTCCTTGGTGCTCTCTGCCCTTGGTGGTTTTCTTGCAGATGTTTCATGACCCAAATCATCAGTGCTAGAAGGGCGTGGGGTTTGCAGAGAGGAGGAGGAGGGAGGGAGGGAGGGAGGGAGGAGGAGGACTGTGGGATTCTTGGTGCTGTCTGAGCTTGGTGTCCATGGAGATTCTCAGTCATCCAGGTCATGGTTGTCCCAAAGGTGCTTTTTTTAAAGGGGCAACTGGACTTTGAAAAAAGCACCTTTGGGTCTGAGCTTGGTGGCTTTCCTGCAGACATTTCATGACCCAACTAGGGAACATCATCAGTGCTAATTAAGTAGCGTTATCTAGACTAGCACTGATGATGTTATCTAGTTGGGTCATGAAATGTCTGCAATCAAACAACCAAGCTCAGACAGCACCAAGGCCCTTTCATTTCAACCCTGAGTTATAAATATTGACTTTTTATATTGCAAAAGCATCAACTGTGTATGTCTGAGATGTACTTCCTGCAAGCCAAGGAGTACGTAGCATAAATATTCAGGGCAAGGAAACAGCTTTCCACCTGCTTTAAACAATTAATTTCATTCATTCTGTTATTTTAGCAGTCTATTGGTGGGAATGCAAAGAGTTACCTTAGTTTGGCCCAGCCTGGAGACAGTGAGCCAAGTATGGTATCTGCCTGTCCCTCTTTCCAAAGCAACAGCAGAATAACAGAGTCGGAAGGGACCTCGGAGGTCTTTTAGTACTCAAGTAGGAGACCTGAAACCATTCCAGCCAAGTGTCTGGAATATATCCAAATATATCCAAATCCCATTGTGCCCATGTTTTGGATACATAAGACGGGCCTTCTGGTTCCATTGGAACCACAATCATTGTCTTGAACGCTCATTTCTGATGTCTCTGGAGAGTCTCCGTCATCCAGGCCCATGGTTGACCCAAAGGTGCTTTTCCAAGAGGCAACTGGACTTTCTGGCTTTTCTCTGAAGACGTTTCGCTTCTCATCCATAAAATAAAAAGCGAAACGTTTTCAAAGAAAAACCAGAAAGTCCAGTTGCCTCTTGGAAAAAGCACCTTTGGGACATATCTGATGTCTTGTACCAACCCAAACAGCATGGAGAACCAAGAACATTGAGCTGTTTTCATTTGCATTGAAATCTCTAGAGTTTGGGGCTTGAAACGTATGCCTCGAAATCAACAACACTTTGGGGGAAACACACACACACAGAGACACACCGCTCCAAAAGCCAAGCGCAACAAAAGCCCAAAGTCAGTTCTTGGTGAGCAGAAATCACCCCGGTTTCCAGAACTGCCACATGCAGAGTTTTGCAGCTGGAGTTTTGCCAAGTCTAAAAGGCTCCTGCGCTTTCCACCTTAAATGGATTTTATCAGATTTTGCTCTGCTAAGCTCATGCTAATATTGGCTCCAATAAAGAACAAATCGGGCGCCCGACTCAACTCATCTTATCGCGCAGTCAAAACTGATGGCTGCAGAAGTCATAAAGATCCCATTTAATCTCTCGCCTATCTATCACCAGGAACGTCTTTATCCCTTTTCGCAAGCGGTGGTCATATCTGCTCATTACGAAAGCAAAACAGAGCTGGCATGCATAAAAGGAGGGAATGAAGTGCTCACTTTGATTTTGACAGCATGATCAGTGGGAGCAGTAATCTGTGAGAATCAAAAGGGCCTACATTATTCCATAAGCGTAATTTGAGGGAACAGCTCAGAGCACACACATCTGCCTTCATATATTGTGACTTGCGCTGATAAAACATCCGTCCTCATTTACTCTCTCTGTGCTTGGCTAATCTCCAACAGCCCTCCCGATGTCTAATCACGCCATCAGAGGGGAGAGAAGAGCCTCAATTGAGACTCAAATGAAAGAAGATTGGAAAACTATCTTCAATTGAAATTACATTTGTAAATGAACCATCTTTTCTGTTAGGTTCTTTTTTTTTTTTCCTTTCCCCCTTTCCTTTCCCCAACACCCTCTTGCTCAGATTGTGTTATGCTAAATCTGTCTGGAGAAGTAGCAACGTGTTGTTGGACTGTATTTATTCCATTACCCGGGGTGTAAAAAATCATCGCGGCTTAGGAGTTGTCGGGCCTGTTTGCAAGCAGGAGATGATTTTATGGGTATTGCGAGCCTCTCCACTTTGTGTGTGTTTTCTTTTTAATTGTGTGCTATGCTGCTGGGGGATGAGGAAAGGTCAGGGCACAGATGTTTCCATTAAATAAACAACTCATTATCGCATTAACCTAATGTAATTAGCTACATCATTACCAAATACCAAAGACCTCTGGATGCATCACACTATCTGTGCAATCATAGCTTTGTGTGTTGTGTTTACACGTGCAGGACAGACCGATTTGTTCTTTGTCTCCGTACAGATATTGATTTCAATATATATTTCATTTTAAACTCTCTCTCTCTCCGCTCTCTCTCAATGGCTGTGATACTGCCGTGAAGAAGCACAATTTTTGTCTGGACAATAGTTATCCTAAAGGAAATTAGTGATTAACTAGGGCTTTTTTTCCCCCACAGTCCATCATCTTATAGATATATTGTCATACCACGGACACAACGATGTGCAACTGAGTCTTTAAATAAAAAATAAAAGCAGCTAACTGTGGGGAAAAAAAACCCAATCTCTGATGTCATCCCAAATCAGACTCACTCACAAAAAATGATTGCATAAGTCAAGGTTTCTCAATTTTGGCCACTCTAAGACTTATGGACTTCAATTCAGCTGTGCTGGCTGGGAAATTCTGGGCGTTGAAGCCCCCAGGTCTTAATATGACCAAGGTTGAGAAACCCTGGAATGAGTCATTATTTGAACTTTTTTTGATGCTCGCATGTCATAGCCAAGGACAATGTCTAGCCATTTGTGGCTGAAGCTAAGCAGGTCCAGACACAGTTAGACTTGGATGGGGTACCCTGTGCTGGAACCACCTGCTGAAGGAGAAGAGGCCCCAATAAGAGAGGGGGGTTAAAAGACATCCCAGCTTAGAGTCCATTCAGAAAGGACATGGTTGGTTGAGGTCAAACCCTTGGTCTATATCTGGCTTTCCCAGGGGAAGAGACTTTTGTTGTTGTTGTTACTTGCGAAGTTGCATCTGACCCATCGTGACCCCCATGGACAACATTCCTCCAGGCCTTCCTGTCCCCTGGAGTCCATTTAAGCTCACGCCAACTGCTTCAGTGACTCCATCCAGCCACCTCGTTCTCTGCCGTCCCCTTCTTCTTTTGCCCTCCATCGTTCCCAGCATTAGGCTCTTCTCCAGGGAGCCCTTCCTTCTCATTAGGTGGCCAAAGTATTTGAGTTTCCTCTTCAGGATCTGGCCTTCTAAAGAGCAGTCAGGGTTGATCTCCTCTAGGACTGACCGGTTGGATCGCCTTGCAGTCCAAGGGACTCACAGGAGTCTTCCCAGCACCAGAGTTCAAAGGCCTCCATTCTTTGGTGCTCAGCCTTCCTTATGGTCCAAATTTCACAGCCGTACATTGCAACTGGGGAAACCATAGCCTTGACTATACGCACTTTTGTTGGCAGGGTGATGTCTCTGCTTTTTAGTATGCTGTCTAACTTTGCCATAGCTTTCCTCCCCAGGAGCAAGCGTCTTTTAATTTCTTGGCTGCAGTCCCCATCTGCAGTGATCTTGGAGCCCAGGAAAATAAAATCTGCCACTACCTCCATTTCTTCCCCATCTATTTGCCAGGAGGAAGAGACTTAGAATGACTTTATTAGAATAACTTTATTGTCACTTTGCAGAAAGACAGTCTGGTGAGATTCTTGTAAGTTGGTCATCAACAATAAAGAAACGGAGGTGACCCATCCTTGGAACTCTTCCGGTTGCCTGTGTCTGACAATGTCAGGGCGGGATCACTCTTCACCTATCCCCAAATGTCTCCAGAAATCAGAGCATGATTGAGGAAGAATCGACTTATTCCTGGGAAGGAGGGAAATGTCAAAATGAGAAGTGAAATTCCTTCTTACGGGCATCACGATGATGCAGTACAAATACAATGGAATGTAGATTTGGTCCCATCACAACCACTTTTCAAAAACCACAATTTAGGCATCTAGTTTACAGAGTTAGGAATTCCATTATCCATATTAGGAAGATATACAGGTCAGCTTACGACCACAACTGAGCCAAAATTTCTGTTATTAAGTGAGACATTTGTTAAGTGAGTTTTGCCCCATTTTACGACCTTTCTTGCCATTGTTATTAAGTAAATCACCGCAGTTGATAAGTTTGTCCACGGTTGTTAAGTGAATCTGGTTTCCCCATTGCTTATCAGAAGGTTGCAAAAGGGGATCACATGACCTTGGGACACAGCAACAGTCATAAGTACGAGTCAGTTGCCAAGCATCTGAATTTCAATCACATGATCAAAGGATGCTACAAAGGTCGTAAGTGTGATAAACGATCATAAGTCACTTTTTCAGTGACGTTGTAACTTTGAGCAGTCACTAAATGAACTGTTGTAAGTAGAGGTCTACTTGTATTAAGAAGAAGTAGATATTAAGTTTGAGATCAATCCCTTGCAAGTCTTTTTAGCTGTGTGACTCTGTGAAATAAGAGGCATCTATCAGTCAAGAACTGCTTGTAAGGTCAGGAGAAAAAATATGCTTTATTTTAAGTAGCTCCGGTGATTTACAACTCAACCATCCTTGGAAGCAGAGATGAGACAAACCCCTAACTAAGATTGCATTTTGAAGATAATGACCAACCTCAGCCCTGCATAACAGAAGACACGAAAGAACATTAGAGCAATTGAATTACAGAAAATGCACCACCAGATGGTGTCTGCTTTTATTCTGTGGCAACTTCGAAT